TTTCAAATTCAAGAAACTTAAATAAAAAAAATTGATTTACTTTTACAGCTTTTCTGCTGCGGGATCGTTAGAGATTTCATTGAACCAATTGGGGAAAAGTCATTGCATTTCATTACTGCAGTGTGGGCGTGTGCGTTTGTATGTGTGTGTTGGTGTGTAGGTGTGTGTGTCAGTAGATGTGTGGGCGTGTGTATGTATGTATGTGTATTATTGTTATTTCTTAAATGGCAGCTTGAAGAATACAAAGTTTAATAGCGTTCAAAAAGCAGCAAGTTCTCGTTGTTGTTTTTTGGCAAAACATTTGGAAAGCTAAAGGAAAAACGCACTTTCCATTTCTCATTGTTATTGCAAGAAGAAGAGTGAAAGGAGGCGAAGAAAATGCTCTAATTTTAAAAGGACAGATTTACATAGCCGAATATTTACAGGGCGACAGCGTGAGAAGCTTAATGCGTTTGTCTCTCTCTGTACAAAAAATAAGACTAGAAATAACTAACTACGATTTTTTCATTTTTTTTTTTTTTTGTGTATTGCACCGGAGTTAAGGCGCCAATGTGGTTGGTGTTTCTATTGTTGTTGTTGTTGTTATTGTTGTTGTTGTATTGTTGTGACGCTCACGCTTCCGCTGGCCACGCCCACGACGCGACTTCTTGCGGCGCACCACACGCGTTTCGCTGCTGTAGCTGATCTTTTCGCTAATGCTGCTACTATTTGTGAGTGTTGTATGAATGTTGCTGTTGTTTATGTTGCTGTTGTTCATGTTGTTGCTGTTGGAATCAGTGCCACTAATAGCGCCATTTGTTAGTGTATTATCTATCGTTTGTCTGTGAGGGTCCGCGAGCCGATCATGGAACGGCGCCTGCAGCACGGACGCATGCCGCACTGAGAACGCTGAATTCGAGTCGGAGACAGTGTCGGCGGCGGTTTGGGTGGGGCTGCTGCTGCTGCTGGTTGGCGGCAACAGGGTGCTGCTGCTGTCGTCGATGCCGTTCGCAGTTGCTGCACTGGCACTGGCATCTGACTCGCCCTCCGGCGTTTGCACTTTGCTTAGTATGACCTTGTCGAGATTGGCTATCGAGATGATTAGGGGTGAGGATTCATTGGATTCGGGACGAAGTAGGGGTACAATGGGTCTTACGTATTGGACGGTTGGCAAGGCGGCCGCTAGGGCCGGCTGAGCCGTCGGCGGTTCGGTGTTGTTAATTGCATCCAGTTCGACGTTCAGCGAACGCTCCGTGTTGCTCTCCTTGTCGATGCTATTGAGGTTCAGCTGCTTGGCCTTGCGTTCCGAGTCGAAGAGTCCTTCGAGCGATATGGTTGACGTTTCGTAGGCACTGCGTATTACCTCCGGCAGCAGCGCTTTGCCGTTGCGCTCCGACTCGCTGTCGCCCTCCGTCTGGGGCAGGCTGTTGCGCACCGGTGCGGAGTTCTTAGAGGGCGTGCTGGGCTCTGTGGGCGTGTAGTCCGCAACGGTGCTGTGGCCGTCGTTTATCTGAATATCACTGCCGTCCACCAAATGCACGTATTTCACCACACTGATCTCACCTAGCTGCTCGACGTGGGGCAGCGACTCGACGCGCAGCGTGACGAAGTCTTGATTGGCCTTGGACTTGCGGTGGGCGGCCTTGGCCTGCTTGGAGTTTATCTCTACAATGCGATTGATTTCGATGAGCTTATGCTTGGGCTCCACAGCGGTGATCTTACTACCCAGCGGTCGCCCAGTGGGCTCCTGATCCTCCTCAGCCTCGCCCTCGACCAGGGTGAATACATGCAGCAGCGTCGTCGCCGGCGGTGGCGACTGCGTCGTCAACGACAACGTGGCCGTCTCTTTGTCCTGTGGGAGTGAAGAGATGTTTGTGGCTTCATTAGCATACATTGGAACATGGTGCACAATTGGTGGCTGTGCGGTTTCGTTATCGTTTTCGTTTTCGTTTTCGGGTTCGGTTTCAGTGTTTGTGGTGTCTGTTGACTGTGTTGATGTTGGATTTGTTGTTGGTGTGGTTGGTGTGGTAGTCACATAGCCCTGATTCTGCTGCTGCTGATCATCGCTGTCCTCTTCCCTTTCTAGTGCAGTTTCAGTTCCACTCTCTAGGTCTGATTCAGCCTTAGGGGCCACCTTTGGCTTAAGCGTCGTATGCTTCTTGCTGTTGATGTCGAAGATCTTTTTGTTGCGTGCATTGAGCGCATCGATATTCAAGTCCTCGATCAATGGATTCTCGCTGGCAGTTTCCGGTGCTTCCGTCGACGGACCTGTGTACTTGCGCTCGTAGCTGCGATTGCTGCTGGGTATGAACGGGGCGGGTTTCAGAGGGGTTAGCGGGGTGGTGCGCTCATAGTTCTTGGCCACAGGTCGCAATGTTAAATTGGGAGTCGCCACTCCGGGCGGCCGATTGATCACTCGCGGACGGTTGCTGCCGCCGAATCGATTGGACGGTGCCGAGGGGGTGCTCTGGCTGGAATTGGGCTGGCGATTACGGGGATTGAAGGGCACGTTGCCACCGATGGGGCTGCCACCGCTGCCGGTCGGAGAAAAGCTTGGTCGACTACCGGGCAGCACGCGATTGTCCTTGGCGCGATAGGCGGGTGTTTGAGGCTTGTTAGTGCTGTCGCCTTGCTCTTGGTTGGAAACAGTTTGATCGTCTTGCTCATTCTCCTCTTCTTCTTCTTCATCATCATCATCGCCATCATCGCCCTCATCATATTCATCTTCGCTGTTATCACTGTTTGCATCGGCCTTAGGCTGTTTGCTCTTGGGCGTAAAAGGTTTTCGCACCGCCGCCTGACTGCCCAGCAAACTAGTCCTAACGAGTGCCGGTGGATGTTCCTGCTGTTTCTCGTACTCCTCGTCGTCGTTTACCTCATCGTCATCTGCTTCACCTTCTGTTTCCTGTTGCTTAAAGCGATCGGTGCCTGGCAATCGCGATCCTCTAGGATCGTTCCGCACAAAGCCCTCGCCCTTGTTACGTACGCTGGAATTGAAGGGATCGAAGCGCCCGTTCTTGCGACGCACGAACTTGGCTGTGGGCCGTGTGCTGTTTAGGCTGAGAGGAGTCTTCGTAGGCACGTTGCTAGTTGACGGTACGTAGGGTCGCTTGGCCACCAGCTTGCGGCGGAAAGCCGGACGCAAAGCAGATTTGGCAGTTGTGCTGGAAGTCTTCTCGTCATCATCAATGATCGCATTGCTGTCGCCTTGGCTTGCAGTGGCCTTCTCGACCAACAGTTTCTTGAGCTTATCGTTTATCACACCCTGCTCCCCAGTGCCACGTGCTTGCTCGGCCTTTACCTTATCGCGCAGCTGCTGCAATGCCGAGCTGCCCTCGCTTTCTGACTCCTCTTCGCTACCCTGCAGTTTGCTGCTAAGCACTCCATCCTCAGGCTCCCCGCGGGCCTGTTGAGTCTTGAGGCGATTTCGCAGCCGCTGCAAGTCCAGGGGATGTCGGTCTGCTTCCTTGTCCTTACCATCTTCGTCTTCATCGTTCACCTGCTCAGATTGCGACTCAGCTCCGAAGCGAGAGCGACTGGGCTGGAACGGTTTGCGTGTGGTCGTCGTGCTTTCCCCAACGACGCCCGACTGCTCCCCATCGCTCGACCTATTCGAGTCGGTCGCAATCTGAACTGGCCTAAGCTTGCGCACAATTTTTCGGAAACGCTTCGTTGTATTGTTTGCTAATGTGATTGTGTCTGTGATGTTCTCAGTGTGTGTGGTACTGGCGCTATTAGTGGTGTTGGTGTTGGTGTTGGTGTTGGTGGTGCTGGTGCTTGTACTATTGCTACTATCAATAGACTGAAGCGGTCGTCGATATTTAAGTACTCGTATGCGTTTCAATGTTGGTTTAGTGCTCGGCGTCGCTGCTGTTGTCACTGTTGGAGCAACAGTTGTCGTCTCTGTGGCATCAGCTTCGTCATCATCATCATCATCTTCATCATCTGATGATTCGTCACCGACTATAGATAATTTAGTTACCTGAGCGCGGCTTCGTGAGCCAAAGGACAAACGTCGTGTATTTGCTGTTGCCGCTGTTGTCGAGGCTGTTGCTCTGGGTGTCGTTGTAGTCGTGGTGCCTCTAGTGCGGCTCACTTGATATCGATTCTGAAAACGTCGTTTAGAATTAACGTCATTACCTAGGTCATTTAAAACACGCTTTGGTGCCCCATTCTCATTTGCATTATCATTATCATTCTTATCCGTCTCCTCATAATCAATATCTGCATCTAGACTATCATCATCTTCAGTCTCATCGTTATTGTTATTAGCATTACCGACTGTGACTGGTTGTGTTTGTTTGTTGTTTGTGTAAATGKTTTTGCTGTTGGTGCTATTGCTTGTGTTTTTGTTTTCGTTAGATTTAGAGTTAGAATTAGAATTAGAATTAGAGAACTTAAAACGATTATTTATATAGTTTGCTACGGTGCTATTACCACGTGTTGTGCCAAAAACTTGACTAGCTACTTTAGGTGAGGTGCTCTGATTAGTATTGTTGCTTATGTTAGGTTGAGTGCTACTCTTTTTGGATACCTCTGCTACATTGTCAGCGTTCTTGTTCTTGTTCTTGTTATTGTTGTCATCCTCGTCTTCATCGTCGTATTCGTCCTCGTTCTCACCGTCTTCATCGTCGTCGTCGTCGTCGTTGTCTTTGTCCCTGGATTGACTATGGGTCTGGGTTAGTGTCTGTGTCCGACTTTCAGTCTTAGAGGTTTCTGTGCGTTGTCTGCTGGCAAGTAACTGGCTTATAATAGAACGGGGCGTGGTAGTTCGGGGCTTTGGATAAACGTCTTCCTCGGGCTCCTCGGCATCTTCTTCTTGCTCCTCTTCTTCGTCGTATTCGCCGTCCTCCTGCTCTTGCTCTTCTTCTCCACGATTATATAGATTTCTATTGATTGCCACAATATTGCGTCGTGTCGTAGAGCTCGGCCTTGTCGGCCGCGTTGTGGTCTGACGTGCTGTGTAGCTGATTCGCGTCCGGCTGTCCGTTTGCTCGCTGCTAGGCGTGGCTATCTGGTTTTGGCGAGAGCCAACCAAGGCTCTATGCCGGTTGGTCTGCAGGAAACCGCCTCGCGCTGGTAGTTTATTGGAAGCAGGCGCATCATCCTCAGCATCATCAGTGTCTGCTTCGAGTTCGCCATCAGCGTCAGCATCGGTCACTGATTCGGTGGTTGTTGAGGTGTCTCTGTTGCTTCCATAGCGACTACGTGTCCTGCTCAGGGTCGAATATGGACGCCGCGTCGTTATGTCGGCATTTACTTCCCTTTCGGCGGCTGGCGTTGGGGTTCCCTGTCTGGTGAACTGACGTATTGTTGTGGGTCGATTCCTGTTGATTCTTGGCACTGGAGTTGTAAGTTTGATATCATTTAGATTACTATCTGTTTCTGAGCTATCTTCCTCCTTAGTGTTTCGTTGAGCCGAAGATATTGTCGCATTGTACCGGCGACGCACGAAGCTCTGTGGTCGTTGTCTGGATCTCTGGCTGCTTATTGTTGTGGACTCGACACCATCGACCGAGTCAGCCTGCTCATCCTTATCTACACTTTGCTCTGTTGTGGTGGCCGTTGAATTAAAACGACGACGTATGAGGAGATTACGTCTTGATGTGGTTGTTTTTATGGTGTCACTGCTAGTCTCAGCATCTCCTGAGCCGCCCTTTGCATCGGAACCTTCTTCATCTTCCTTGACTGCGTTGACCCTGGTGATTGTAGAATTATTGCGGCGACGTAATAGAAGCTGACGACGCGAATTTGAACTGCTGTTGACTTCAGCGGCTGGGGGCTTGCCTCGCGTCTCGATATCCTCCTTGACTGTGTTGTCTTTAACATTATTTGTTGCCGTTGAGCTAGATTTCGTTTCATTGATTCGTTTACGAATCAAGATCCTCCGTTTAGGCGTAGCTGACTCAGTAGTCGTGTCCGTGGTTGCACTAGTGGACACATCGTCTTCGAGCTTATCAGTTACTTCCGTGCTATCATTCGAATCTGTCGTACTGATTCTTGTTGCCGTTGCTTGAGTGGCTGCAGTTGTGATGTCCTCATCATTCACAATTTCATTCTCATCATCCAATTCTGCCTCAAGTTCATCTTCGCTTTCATCAGCAGATTCAGCAGTCGGTTTCGCTGTCGATGTCGTGGAGGACTGATCTCTGCTTAAACTAACATAAGGGCGACGGGTGCTACTATCTGAGGTTTCTAGGCCCGTGGCTGTTGCATTAAAGCGACTGGTTTTTAATAGTTGTCTACGGGCTGTTCCATCCCCACCGGTCGAAGAAGTGCGGATTCCGACACCAGTCGTGCTGAGTTCCCCATTATCTGCTTCTTCCGTTCCATCATCCAAGTCGGCTTGGAGCTCATCGGTTTCATCACTTTCGGCAGGATTTTCTGTCGTTGCTCTCTGATTGAACCTAACTCTTTGACGAGTTGATGGTTTTGCCGTCGAAGTCGTTGTTGACTGTACTCTATTAAGGTTTGTTGAGTTATTTTCTTTACCCCGGAAACGCTGACGGTTCTTTAAAAGTTGACCACGGACCGTGGTATCCTCAGGTCTCTCGTCATTATCGACAGTCTCATTTTCACTTTCTACTTCTGCTTGAAGTTCGTCATTTTCTTCACTTTCGACAGGTGTTTCCGTAGTAATTCGCTGACTGAACCTAACTCTTTGGCGAGTTGGCCTCGAAGTTGATGTTGTTGTTGACTGCGCTCTATTAAAGTTTGTAAACGTCCGGCGCGTTGTACTATCTGAGTTTTCAGTGGTTTCTGTATTGTTTTCTTCTTGAGCAGTTCTTGAGTTTGTATTTGTTGCATTAAATCGCCTAGTTTTATAAAGTGGATTGCGGCTCCTATTATCCGTTGTGACTTTAGTTTCTTTGGCTCGTTTGTCAGCCTCGTCTTCGACAATATCATTTTCGTCGCCCAAGTCGGCCTCCAACTCATCGGTTTCTTCGGGATTTTCCGTAGTTCTTTGATAGATATTTGGACGGGAATTTGGCTTTGTTGTTGATAACTGTCTATTCAAGCTGGCATTAACACGGCGCGCGTTGATGTCCGGAATCACAGTCGTTGTCGTCCTATTGCCTCTGCCGCGATAACGTTGAGAAAAGCTCTGCGCAGCTTTCGTGCTTGTCTCTAACTCATTTTCCCCGGCATCATCTGAATCGGAATTAGCTGCTGGCGTTGGTCGCCTAAAGTTGGGTCGAGTACGATTCGATCGTCCAGTTTGGCCATCTTCACGAACTTGTGGCTCATCTTCTAGTATAGATACCTTAACGATGCGTGAAGTTTCGTTTCCCCTTGTCGTTGCTAGCTTTGTTTTGAAAGTTTTTCCCTGTCGATAGGGATTTTTCGTCAAACTGTCATCCGTGTCATCATTAGTATCTCTATCCGCATCTGCTGGTGTGCTTCTGTTCTTGTTGCTCTCTCCAATTGCATTCTCAGCCTGCTCCTCTACTTTTGCCCCCGGGTGACCTACACTGACCCGGGGGTTTTCAATAAAAAATGACTCAATTCAGAGTTGATTTCGCGTGCCTGTTCCATCGCTTTGCGATGATCCTCGTCCATCGAATCGTCGTCGTCCACGTCCGCCTCTAATGAATTGTCTGGTGTCCCATTATCGCTCACATTAAAAACTTCGTGAATCTGGCGTTGAATGTCCACGGTGACGGTGTTCCCCGTCGGCGGCGTTGGCGTCTTGTCAATATATGTTATGGGTGAGTCCTTTACATATTGATAGTATTTGCGGCGATGATATATTGGCAGTGACAGCTGATCGTCGTGGTTGACTATCTGGTTAGCTGCAGGAATTGGCGTAGTCTCAGCGGCGTGATTTTTCTGGCCATTGGCGTGCAGGTTGTTCAAGGCTTTCACAAAGCTCTTTTGCAGATCCTTAAGGTTGTCAGTGCTGGCTGCAGCTGTTGCAGGCTCACTCGTCGTAGTCGTCGTTGTTGTTGTTGTTGAACTACTTGACGTTCTTGTTGTTGTTTCCTCGGGCAATTCGGCTGTTGGGGGAACACTCGATTCAGTTGTGGTTACGGGTCGCTTAAAGTTCAGCACACGTCTGGTTACAGTCACTGGTCGAGGCTCCTGTGTGGTAGTTGATGTTGTTGGTGGTGTCACTGTTGTCGTTCTCGTCGTTGCTTTCGAAGCTGGACGACGGAAGCCTGTACGGCGTGTGGTAGCTTCATGATCAACCGTGTCATCAGATGGTGGTAATGTTGTTTCAGCTGTCGTCGGAGTCCTCTCGGTGGTAGATATCTTTCGGCTCGGCCTTGTTGGTCTCGTGCGTGGACGGCGCGTAGTCGTAGCTTTGGTCGTTCTTGGGGTTGCGGTCTCTGAGTCCGGATCCTCTAAGTTGTTTTCGTTTTCGTAAATAAATTCCTCAACTTTTTCGCTCTCTATAGTCTCCTTGGGTTTCTTCAGGAGACGTCTGCGAGTCTTAGTCACAGTTGCCTGAGGTTGCTTGGAGCGCTGTGCTTTACTGGCGAAGTCCAATGCCAACAGTGAGGACAGATCGGTGCTGCGGAACTTGGCTGAGCCACGATTCCGCGTGACGGTTCGCGGGGTCGTAGTGGCCGCCGGCTGGTGTACCTCATCGTATATATACTCATATTCTGCCGGTTTCTCTTCCACAATTTTGGTATGGACACGCTTTACAACTTTACCAGCATCGAGTGTCCGGACGTAAGTTGTACGAGTCCGGGTTATGCCATTGCCCAAAGATTCAGTTTGGCTGCTTGTGCGATTGCGAATCGCTCCATGTGAGGTGCGACTGTTAAGCTTCAAGCGTGCCGAGTCTCCAACATCAGGCTTATCTTCTGGTGTTTCGCTCACATCTTCACTGTTAGATATTACGGTTGAGTTATTAACTTTCTCAGTCCGTTCCTGCTTATTGAGAGATTCCCGTGTTGCCTCCTGGTGGTTGTATTTGACGCGCTTGTTTGCATCAACGGCTAACAAGGAGGAGAGATCTCCCTCTTTGCGGGGCCGGTAGTTGCCCCTAACGATGACACGTCGCTTTGGAAGTGGTGTGCTACTGCTGACGTCAACGTCAACATCTTTTGTAGTCTCCGGACTCTCCGTAGTGGTCGTAGTTATTTTCTTAGTGTTGGTCTCAGCACGAGGGAAAGGACGTCGCGTGTTCGCTCTTACTGATTCTGTATTGCTTAAGGTCGAATTATATTCACTTGACCCTGCACTGACTGACTTTTGGGAAGGAGGTGAGTCAATTGATGTATCGCTTGGGGCTTTCGATTTGCCATCGCCCGTTCTATTGGAGAAACGTGAGTGATGATCTGCTGATGTAGGGGTTGTGTCCTTTGAGTTTGCAATTGTACTCTGCTCAGTTGTGATATCATTGCCATCAATTAATTTCAAGGCCGACTCCTCTTTAGCAGCCTTAGGTTCTGCAGTAGTAATAGTTGTCGAGGCCGTAGAAGCTATGGGCTGTTCAGTTGTTGAGGTGGTGCTATCATCATCCAGCACTGACATGATTGTAGTTTCATCAGCCTCGCCTGATGGACTAGGGGTAGAGCTGACTTCACTGTCGGCATCAATTGCAACTTTCTCACCGTTTGTCGAAAGATTTTCGCTCAGCGCTGCTTTCTTATTGTCTAACTCCTTGGAGTCTAGCTCAGCTGCTGTGTTGCTATCATCAGAGCTGCCACTTGAGGCCGGTGCTATGGTCTTGCCACGCGGCTCATCATCGATTATCTCTGCGGCAATGTTCTCATCCTCAACGCTTGTCTCCGTAATGAGACCGCCCCGTCGTATGGGCAGGGTTATGTGCTCTCGCTCGACTTCATCCAGCTTACGCATGAAGCTGGAGCTTCGGCCTTCGGTTAAATGAGCACCGCTGTTGTCGCGAACTATGGAAGCGTAGTGAATCTGTTCGTCACCGTGGCCACGACTGGAATTACGAGTTATGCTTTGGTAGTTACGCTTGCCAGCTGAGAGTGATCCTGATGACACGCGCTCATCTAAGTTAACTTTAGTAGAGGTGCGTTGATTCTTAGAGCTCGAACTTGATTCAGAGTTGGAAATAGTTGAGTCATTGTTATCAGAAGTCAGAGTTTGACTTGCATTCGCATCGATACGATTTGAGGTACGGGTGTTGCCTTGATAGCTGCGTCTTGTTGATTTAATTTCCAGTGTTGCCTCCGTTGTCTCCTCAGTTGTGTCCTTCTCCTCTTCCGCATCATCGATTGCCAGACGCTTGCCAGCATACTTACGCGAAAATTTGTCGTTGCTGTCAAGTGCATTCGGCAGCTGGACCGTACCTGTTGGCACTCGCGCGTTGCCCTGCCCTCCGCGCCATTCATACTTGGATTTCTTTGTCAATGTTTCATCGTTGTCTTTAGTGCTTAAGCTAGGGGAGCTAACTACGTCATGCCTTAAGATATTGCCACCATTACCAGCTACGTCTACGTCTACTACATTTGTTGTTATGTTAGATTGGGTTGTTGTTGGTGGTGGGGTGTTTGTGCTGGTGTCCAACAACTCTTGACTATTATTGTCACTCACCTTGGGCCTATCCACAGTGGATTGACGCGTTTTGCCTACGCTCGCAACATCATCAATTTGTGTTTTGTTTTCGCTATCGCTATCATTATCGTTATTATTAACAGTGCGGTTGGTTGTTATGGTTATAGGTTGTGGTTTAGTGGCAGTGGGACGTGTGCGACGTCTGGGATAGCCAAAAGGTCTTGGACTAGATATGCCACCCAGCGAGTCTGTGTTAGTCGGGCTCAAAGGTAGTTCGGTTGTTTTCAGTTCAGGTTGTTTGGTTCTTTGTGGTGGTTGCCTTCTACCTGAGTAGGAGTTTCTAATGCTATTTACACTAGGATCGCCTCTACTCAAACCAGGAGAGTTACCAACATTGGGACTAGCATCGTTGATTGCTGCTGCTGCSGCGGCTATATTGTCTCTGTTTCGGTTGTTGTTGCGTCTGCGACTGGTTGTGTACTTAGATAGTGTCTTAGTTGCAGGTGTTGTTGTTACCTCGTTATCAAGATTGTTTATCTGATTGTCGCTGTCGTCGTCGTCTTTGTCGTCGTTCTTGGCTGTCTTGACCAGTTCAGGCTGCGTCGTTGTTTCAGTTGCTGTTGGCGTTGGGGTCGCAGCTTCTGTTAATTTGTTAGTCTTTAAGTCAAGGGCTGGGATCTGGGCCTCGTCGCTTGAGTCCTCAGCTGGCGGCAGTGTGCTCAATGGTAGCTCTAACATATCGTTAATGCCTTCAGCTAAGCTCAAGGAGTCAATGCTGTTGGTAGTTGGTACTTGGATAGTGGATGCTACAGTAGGTGTGGTTGTGGTTGTGGGTGTGGTTGTGGGCGTAGGTGTGGGTGTGGGTGAGTGGGTGTTGGTGGTACTAGTAGTTTGGATATTAGTATTGATAGTGCTCTCAATTGGTTCAGTGGTTTCGTTAATGATAGTGGCTGTTGCAGTGGTTATATCTGGTTGGGTGCTGAGTGGTGCTGGTGTGGTTGCTGCTACGTTGTTAATTTTCACAGTGTTGCTTCTGTTGTGGTTGTTGTTGTTGTTGGCCTTGGCAGTCTCAGCGCCGGTGCCACTTGTTGTGGTTGTTGTTGTTTCTGGTGTTGTGACTGTTGTTGTTGTTGTTGTGGTTCTGCGGCCAATGCTCGCGTATTTACGTGTATTTGTTGTTGCTGTAGTGTTGCTTTTATTTCTTGGTACCGTTACATTTTTCTGTTGTGGCTCATCCTCGTATTCGTCCTCATCCTCCTCAGTATCGTGTTCACTAGCATCGTCGATCCCGACGCTGGCATCAGCGCTGCTCTTCGTGGGTCGCGTCCGTTCCAAGTATTTGTAGCTAAACAGATTTTGGAAAACAAGGGCTTAGGTCTTGGAATTCAATGTTCAGAGTTTCTACACTTATTTACCGATTGGTTATCGAGCTAACTTCTGGCTCCGAGACTATGCTCTGCGGTCGTTCGGTGCTGCGTCCCCGGTTGCGGTTTAGAGTCGCGTATTGCTTGGTCTGCGTTTGTTCCCTGACGGCAAACGTCTGCTCGGACTCTGTCACCGAGTCTACCGGCGTGCTAGATGTTGTTGTTGTGGGCCGGGAGCGGCGTAGGCTGGTGTACGATGGTGTGGCAGAGCTGATGGGACGCCTCGTTGTGAGGATCTGTTCCGACTTCTGCTCAGCTTCTTCCTCCTCACTTGCTTCGGGATCGTCCTTCGAGGAAGCTTCGCTCTCTTCGTCATCGCGCGAGACGCCGCGATTGCGATTTATTGTCACATACTGCTTACGTTCCTTGAGGAAGCCATCGAATTCGGGGAGCTTTTCCAGACCTTCGTTTTGAGGTCCCTGTCGGCTATTGCCGCGCAGTACCGAGGAGTATTTGGAATTGCCAGCTTGCGAGCTGCTATCGTCAGCGACAGAGGATTCGGTGGTCTGTACCTTCGCTGCACTGAAGCGATTGCGTGAAAATGTGCCCAAAGTTTCTGGACGGTTCAGGACACGATCATACAAGGACTTGCTAATGGTCGAAGGTGTGGTTGGCGCGCCGTTAGAGAAGTTCTCCTTGAGCGTGATGGAGCCATCCTTGTTGCGCAGTAAGTGCTTCTCCAGCTGCTCGATGCCCCCCACTTTGCGGATAAGATCAATGAGCTCTTTGATCACCTGTGGATCCTCTTCAGCATCACTGGACTTGTTCGACGTTTGCGTATTATCGCCGTCCTCTTCGTACTCAAGTTCATCCTCCACAGGCGCCGCGGTCGTGGTTGTTGTGGTGCTGGTGACACGTGGAAAGACAGGTCGCGCCACCGGTGCCGCTGTCACCCGGTTGTAGCTGCTGGTTGGGCGTGGCGTAGTGCTCGTTGTTGTGCTGGTTGAAGTCACTGGCGCCGCAGTTGTCGATCTGTGTTCGAGCAGTGGACAAGGGAAATGAGAAACTTGCTTTGGGGATCGATCGGATAATACTTACTTCTTGGTCTTGCATGGGACGTTGCGCGCGAAATCGCATGAGTCTGCAGCGGGATTGAAGTAGAGTCCAGATGGACAGGTAAACTGATGAGCCACAATGCCCAGGCCAGATGGACCGCTGTCCAGGCACCAGTAGTACTTCTTGCAGTCGCGTGGATGCTGGAAGAAGCCCTCCTCCTCGCACTTGAAGTCCGAGCCGGGATCAGGCGTTGTGGGTGGCGCTGGCGTCGTCGAGCCCCTTCCGCCAATGTACAGCGACGATCCCTTGGGTTCGGTCAGCCTAATGGTGGTCGGAGCCGGCGTTGTCGTTGTGCTGCCTCTGCTGCCAGGTCGCCGGGCTGCACTGGAGCCACGTGAGCTGGACTCTGATTCGGAATTCAGATGCTTTCTGGTGCTAGTGATGCCATTCTCGCGACTTCTCGAGCGCAGCGGCTTCTGAGGGCCAACGGACTTGGCGACTTCATTGATGCCCAGGCTGTGAAGGGATAAATAGAAAATTATCATAGATTGAGCTTGACCTTAGATGTGGGGGGCTGTACTATTCGAACACGAATCTTGATGAACGTCGATATTTACCCATATGCATCGAACATTGCCTCCTTGGCAGCCTCAATCAGGGGATAAGGCTTGCCAGTGCATGTTCCACGGAAGTCGTCGTTGTCTATGGCCCAGAACATAATGCCACCCAAGCCGTGGGCGACCACATACTCGGCCTTCTTGCGCACAATGGCCTCGTCGTCATAGCCGACCCATTGATTGCGCCTGTAGGCATATGGGCCCATGACATTGGGGTTGGGCTGCACCACGGTCCATTCGGAGTCTTCCTTAAGTGTCTGACAAATCTGTGCAGGGAATGTTAGTTAGTACGTGTCTGTTATAAAGGAGCAACTAGGCATCTACCTCATAGTAGGCCAAATAGCCCTTTTCTCTCGTGGCATCGCCCTGTTCGCCTGGTCCCTCGGAGGGGGCGCCGAGCTCGGTGCTCTCCTCGTTGATCAGCGTGTACGAACGGCCGTAGGTTGGTATGCCCAGCACCAGCTTGTCGCGATCGGCGCCAGCTTTGAGATAATACTTGATGGAATAGTCCTGAAAGGCGACGTAGATAAATTAGTTTATGTTTCACATTTCTATGGGCTGCACTCAAGCTCTTACAATGTTTAGCTCCGCATCGTAGTTGTACTCGGAATCATCCTCCAGGGAGTAAAGTGGCGCATGGTGGTTGACCGACGGCTCATGCGACGAGTGGAAGTCGTAGGTCAGCACATTGAACCAATCCAGATACTTGTTAAGCTTCGGCACGTCGTAGCCCTTGTCAATGTACTCAATGCCAGCCGGCACGGCCATGGTGAGCAGCAGTCTAGAGCGACCTGTCTTCTCCGCTTCGCGTTCGAATTCGGCCCTCAGTTCCTGCACGAACTGCGCGTAGTTGTCTCGGTCGCGCGGCTTGCCGCCCTCACGATGGGCGGGATATTCCCAATCCAGATCGATGCCATCGAAATGATTCTGGCGCAAGAACTTCAAGATGTTCTTGATAAACTGTTGGCGCCGATCGGCACTGGCCACCAGGGGCGAGAAACGGGACGAGGCCTCGTTCCAGCCGCCAATGGCAATCATCGTCTTCAGCTGCTTGTTGTAGGTTTTCAGCCCGGTGAATTTTGCATAGCCGCCTGCGGAAGTTGGGTGGACAGAGTCAGAGAGGAGGGGCAGACAGGGTGGGAGTAGGGCGGAAATTGAAGTCGAGTTGAAATGAAATTCAATTTATTTCAATTATGCACTGCTATGTCTCTGTGTGTGGGCGTGTCTGGCTTACCCTGCTCTATATCCTGATACTTGTCAAACGGCTTCATTTGATTATCCTTGGTAAATCCACCGAATGCGTACACCAAATGTGTACACAAATACGGATTTATGTTCTGGGGATTGAATTTGGCTGTCCCCGGTCGATACACACTCCAGTTCGTATAGTAGCAAACCACTCGACCCTCGCCACTCGCAACTGCAACGCAAACATTAGACATCAAATATACAAAAACAATCAGGCAATCTCCCGATACTCTTACCATTGATACAGTAGGCTAGTGCGCAGAGGAAAAAGAGGGTTTGCCAGGTCGCTCCACGCCGGAACTGTAAGCGAAGCAATAGAAATAAAAATGTTTGAAATATTAGCGATGAATATTTAAATCATAATAATCTAGGCATTGACACAGTGACATCGATGGCCCAAGATGCGGACATTGGAGACAAGATTCAGTGACAAAAATATATCAAAGCAATTCAAGCACGTCAAATTCCCATGAAGGTCGACCCCAACACCAACACCAACTCTAACATCTATCAAAACACGTTACACAACCTTATGACTTTTCTATGCAAATTCAATCCATTGAAATACAACAGCAAGCCGACTTTATGCTCGCTCTTTGTTGTGGGTTTCCAATGCGGTGGGAAGTCACAGAGCTGTCGCTGCGGGCGCTTCAAATGAGGAAGCAGCTCAGGTGCCAATAATTCAACCAGTTGCTGCGCTCCATTGCATAAGCTGCATGAACTGTGCGGCAATTAGGGCAAAGGCCCAAATGGAAATCGAAGTCCGTCAACCATGCTACCAATCACACGCTCGTCAATTAAAAAGCGTGTGTGTGTGTTGGCTAGTGTAGCTGTATGACTCTAATTACTATCATTCCAGCAGGACTCCATCCTCAATATATAGAAAGCATTGCTTAAGCTCAGCTGCTAGGAAAGGCTTTGGAGGCGCAGGTATTACGCAGTCGTTCACACCTGACATTCTTGGGTGATCAAAATAATCCAAATTCAGCAAATTGAATGCAATATAAATACCGAGTTTTTAAATCGAAATGCCAAAGTTTGGTAACATCGTAAAGGCAACAACAGGCTCAAAGCAAAGCTGAGCAAACAATCATGGCTTACATTACAGATGCATGTTATATATTTTATGGACCACCTTACATACGCTGCTAATTTTGGACAGCTTAAAGAAATCATAGACAAACTTGAGAGACTACAATATACCCTGGAGCTGGACAAAATGGAGTGCAATTGTCTTTGCACGGTAAGCTATGATAAATGCATAATAAACGAGGCATATTTGGTTCTCAATATCTCTATGTGTGTGTGGCTAATGATGACGATATATGGGACTTGTTCGGGTCTGCTTACTGGCATATATTACTCAAAAATCGATGTGTGTTGTAATATTTGTATTTACTCATTTTTTAATTTTTGTTTTAAATGTGACATTTTAATTTGAATACATTTAGCTATTTCGCAAATGTTGGCTCTTTACATATATGTCAACTACATATCTATATATATATTTACTGCTAATATTATATACACATACATAGAAATATTTACATAAAAGTCTTCTCAGCAACCTCCCATTCATATACATGATTATTAATGACAGCCTTCATTCATCTGCTTCATTTTTCTACTTCTTATGCATATATGCCCATTCATTCGCCAGCACATATATACAGGGTATAATTATATAAGAAAGCATAAGAAACAACAAATAGCGGCAGTCTGTTCATGGAATGTGCGTGTATGCGAGTCATGCCGGTTTTTATATTACACACACTCACACACACACACGCATGCACGTACGCACGTACGCACACACAGTCGCATTCATTGATCGAAGCCAAAGTTAATTTTACACAAACAGAAAAATATAAAAACAAAAAACTTGCAAGATTTGTATTTGAGTGAAAAGTGGTAAAAACGCCAAGTGGGGATCGCCATCATCTGCAATAATTTGATGTTGTCTTTGGCTAATTAGCACAGCTATAGGTAGGAATACACGCATATGTGTGTGTGTATTTATATGGTTCACAGCATTGTCATGTATGTTTTCTATTTATTAATTTGAGGCGAAGGAAATAGCAGGAAGCTAACTCTTTCTTTTATGAGCCGATTATATAAGCAGCGGCTAAAGTATCTCATTTTCAGCTGAATTTTATTATTTGTGTAAATGGCGCCCAAAACGAAAGCTCCATCATAAAACAAAGACCCAATGTGTATAGACGAGCCAAATCAATTGATTTCAAAATGAAATTTTCTTTTTGGAAGTCTCGTAATTTGTTATAACCCTAGATATGTAACAATATCGTGTGTGTTTACTGGAAGTAGCTGGAATCGTGCATTAAATAATACAAAAGTAATAGTATTTATAAATTATAAATTTTAATTTTTGTTCAATTAAGGTTTAATATATATATGTTTTTTGTTATTATATTCATTGTCCATTAATATACCTAATAATGAACTTGTAACAAAAAAATAGCAAATAAA